TTTCTGTTTCTTGGTTCAGAATTTGGAAGCATTCCACTTTAAAAGAGACCCATCATTTTCACATTTATGTCCCTCAAGTGCAAATACTGCATATGCTATTCTCCTAAATCCTTAACAGCAATACTCCTTGACGGGTGACCTTTATTCCAGTTTCCAGTCGCCTAAGTATGCCAGAGTAGCTGTGATGTGGTTTTCTTCCCCTTTAAATTAATGGGAGCAAAGAACCTAGTATCTTCTGCCTCGACTATGTGATATCCCTGTTCCTACCATTTCTTTCTATACAAAAACCTGATACTTAGTCTTTATTATAATTAAAACATTAGAACCATGCAAGGATGTGAATGCCAATACTTTGACATATCTGTAGGCAAGGAAACAATTCTAATTAAAGTGATTATAAAGAATTTTTATCTACTGATAGGCTCTTTTAAAACTGATACTTAATCTTGATAGAGGCTGAGAGTATCTGAGGTATCTGAGAGTGTCCGTTACCCAAAATAGTTGAAGAAGATGAAGAATGTGTTCAGTCTGTATGTTTTTCTGATTTTTTTAAAGCATTTGCATATGTGTAGTAAAGTTGATGAGAGATCAGACACAAGTATAAGCATAAAATTCATTTATGATTCATCTATATGTTATGCGCACAGTTTAAAGCAATTTTCTGCAATATTTTTAATAAATTTGTTCATAAAACATTTCATGTTATGAAATTTTTCCACTGTAGCACCAAGTAGAAAAATTAACAGATTAAGTAATAAATAACATGAAAGCCTCATTGCTTTCATTTTTTTTAAAGCAAAATAAATTTATAATCAGGTATAGCAAGGCCGTGAGGAAGAGCATGAGTGATCACCGTCCCACAGACCCATTTTCTTTTCAAACCCACTCAGAGTTAAGGAAGTGGTTTGGTAAAAAATAACTGATCATTCAAAAATTTTATAAAGATAATGATTTAAAAAAAAAAGCCTGGCTCGACATTATGTCAGGAGACCAGAGAAATTAGCCCAAGATCACGGCCACCATAGAGTGGGGTTCAGGAGCAAAGTAACAGTAGGCTCTGGGTAGGTAGTCATGACACCTCAGAACCAAAAACTGTTTTGATAGAGTAAGGCCACTGGCTCTCTCGGCTGTTACTCATGAGAACAAATTCTGAAATGGTAGGAATAGAAGTAAACCCCAAAGAAGAGAAATCTCCATCTTCTCGATACTGAGTTATTTCAGGCATTTAGGAAAGTCATACATACAAGAATTCTTATATATTATTCAGGGTTCTCTAAAGGGACAGAGCCAATGGCATGAATATATAATCTAAAAGGAATTTAGTAGATTTGCTTACATGATACAGTCTGGGTAGTCTGACAATGACTGTCCCCACACCAGAGAGGCTGAGAACCTGAAAGCTGCTCCATTCACAAGGCTGGATGGATGGCTCCGCAGGACCAGTCAGGCACTGTAAGCATTCCTAGAGTGTCGCTGGTTTTCCTTTGGTCCAGTTACAAGTCTGACAAAGCTGGAATCTGATAACAGTGGAAAAAAACAGAACATAGCAGCAGCATCCACAGGGTAGGTGACCTCACACACAGGGTAGATGAACTCACCGACGAGATGTGAAGAAGCAGAAAGTGTGGCTTTCCCTTCGGACTTGCTTTCATATGGGCTGCTGCCACCCTTCCCAGCACTTGGGAGGCAGAGAGAGCAGATCTCTGTGAGTTCTAGGACAGCCAGGACTATTACACAAAGAATCCCTGTCTTGAAAAATCAAAAAAATAAAAATAATAATAATAAAAACCCAACAACAAAACTACCCAACAACAAAACTGTCCACATTTAGCATGGACTTTCCTCTTTCAAATAATCTGGTCCAGAGACTCTCTCAGGTGTCCCCAGCAGCTTGTTCCTTCATTGACTCCAGATAAGTCACATTGACAATGAAGAGTAACCATCAGGAGCCCACCCCTTACAACTTGCCACTCAGTCACATTACCTTATGTTATGCTTAATTTTCAAATGAAAGTAATAACAACATAATTCCACCTCACGTGATAGTTTAGTTAGGTTTATGTTACTGTGATCAAACACCATGGCCAAAAGCAGCTTGGGCAGGGAAAGGGTTTATTTCAGCTGACAGGGTAGAGTCTATCACAAAGGGACATCAGGACAGGAGCTCAAAGCAGCCACCTCAGGCAGGAACTAAGGAAGGGGCCTTGGAAGAATGCTGTGTACTGGCTTGCTCCCCATGGGCTGCCTCAACTTACTTCTTGTGCCACCGAGGACTCCCTGCCCGTGGGTGGCATTGCCACCAGTGAGCTAGACCCTCCCCCACCAGTCATCAATCAAGAAAATGCTCTGTAGAGTTGCCTACAGGCAGTCTGACGGAGGCCTCTTCTTTCCAGATAGTACTAGCTTATATCAAGTTAGAAAACAAATAACCAGGACACGTGGTATAACCACTGATATATAAACACAAACATTGCTTTCTCTTCCCCAGAAGAGGTGGCACAAACCTCTGAGCAACGCTTCTTCTGTTAGTGTCCCATAGCTTAAATATGATAATATAGATTTGTGGCAGCTAGCCCTTGATATTGTCTCAATAAATGTTACATTATGTAGTAGAAAAATAGAGGAGGGAAACCAGATATTTGCTTAAGACATATGTATGTATGCACAAACATATTCCTAACAAAATAGGACAGGACTTCTTGTGGTGATTGCAACCTTCATTTCTGTAACTGGTCATATAGCTTTAGCTAATTTTTATAACAACCTTCCTCAACTACCTGTTCTATATTTCCTCCATATTTGGCAAGTACCTCAGCAACCTAGAGGGGTTATCATTTTCTCATTTAGAGAAATCGATCCCCATACTTCTTCCTCATCAGTTTCCCAATCATTTTCCTTTTAGGTCCCAAACCATTGGATGCAGCCCGTGGGTCAGTATAATCACACATCTGACCATTTCTCCTACCAAGCACAATGTACAACTTTGTGTATTACATGAAGTTCTGCCTACTGTGAAGATTTCCCTTCACCGGTGTCCTTTGGGGTAGTCCCCAAAAGGTGGCTTTAATGCTGCAGCTGCCCATGTCTGGGTGATTCTTGCATAGATAGCATGCAGAACCATCTGTAAACCAGGCCCTGGTCTTCTCTTCTTCAGTACACCAATCACAGGGCACAATTTATAAGGCTGCAGGTGCATACATGAAGACAGATGACATTGTAACAGGTAGAGAAACCATAGACATTTGGGCAACTTCTTCATGTGACTTGTTTGTGCCTTCAAGACTTGCTCTGACCAGATCATGTATACATCATCAAATCATTCCAGTCAATGAAGGGTTGCTGTTACATACACCAAACTTTATAGCTTGATGAGTCAGAGAATACCTAGCTCGAAATAAACAACTCAGAACTCATAACAACTCGTTGTCAAATGTTGTTCAGTTCCATTAATGACCAATAGCAGGCCAGAAGACAGATGTCTCTGAAAGGGAGAATAATGGCCTGTCTGCATGTGACATTCAGGCCTTGCTCTAAAATCCCAATGGCCTCTGCTGTGGTCCACCTATGGAGGCCTGGCAAGGGCTTCAAACAGTATTCCCATCTTCCGCTGACACTGTGAATCCCATCAGCTGTGCTGGATCATATGACCTAAGAGGCAAAGCAGCCTGCACGGCGGCCAGGACCTGTTGAAGAACTGTTTCCTAGTCTAGGCCCCCCTCAACACTAGCCGCTTCCCAAATCACTTAGAACATGGGCCAAAGTCATACCCCCAAGGGAAGAATGTGCTACCCCACGCTTCTTTCTTGATAGTTAAGTCTGAAAAATAAGGGGCAATTGCTGAAATAAACTTGATCATGTAGTTCTTAGGCATTTGGAACAGGTTTTCAGAAAGAATATGAGGAGTTTGGAGCTTGGGGTTAGAAAGCCCTTGAATGTGATAAACAGAGCTTAATAATAGAACACTCTCCTGGGAGTTTGGGAGGCAAGGATGCTGGGAGACATGCATACAATAGAGGCCCAGTTCGTGCGGTTTCACAAAGGAACAGGAATCTATCAGGAACTGGACTAGGGACCATTTGGTCTGATATTTTGGCCACAAACCTGGCTTCATTCTGCCCATGCATTGAGAACCTGCGCCAGGTTGCACTGAAAGATAATGGCCTCATTTGTCTGATGGAGGAAGTTTCAGGACAGGAAAGCATTCAGATTGGTGCTGAGAAAGCAGCTTTAACTGTTGCAGGAGTTCAATACCACTGAAGGTCAATCTCCTTTGCTCCCCTGAGACAATATGAAAGCTGATCCTTGAAGGCACATCCCGGCCCATCAATGGCTCCATCGTGTGAAAAAAAAAAATCCAACTTCATTTCAAAGAAGAAAGCCTAAGCGAAAGGGGCTCCCAGCTCTCCAAAACTAGCTGCCCAGCAAGCAGTTTCCCACACGTCATCTTGCGGAAGCTGGGGGCCCATAGATTTAAGCTGCTGCTTGCTATTTGGCAATTTAGAGATATCATCTATCTACTCTCTCTCTGTGTCTCTGTCTCTGTCTCTCTTTCTCACTCTCTCGCTCTCCTCTCTCTCCCATTCTTTCCTTCTTCCCTTTTTTTCATCCATCCTTTCTCCATCTACACCATCTGCCCTCCATGAATCAAGACACATACATATGTACATACATGGTAAGTGCTGGTTATGTATTGAATTAATTGACTTTAAAGAAAATCTAGGATGTTCCAGGCACTGTTCCAAGCAGTGTCGAGAGCAAAATGATCCATGAGATATTATCCTAACTGACATAAAGACTGAGATCCAATTCCAGGGACTGGTGTGTACACATAGAATGGCAGCTGGATGGAGAAGGTGCCCTCATGCTCTGTGGATATAACAGGAAGCTGCCTGAATTTAGTGATAAAATTATCACCCTGCACCAGATTAAACATTCTTTATCTTTTTTGTTTGCTGACTTGGTTTATCTTGTTTTGTTTCCTGAAATGTATTCTTTGACAGATTCTGTGGCAACAGCATCCGGGCCACTACTAGTTGAAGTTGCCAAAACTCCTGGCGCCAGCCTTGGGGTTGCCCTAACTACCTCAGTGTGCTGTAACAAACAGGTCATCGTCATAGACAAAATCAAATCTGCAAGTATTGCAGACAGGTGAGTGTCACAGCAGATATCTGCTGATTAGCTCTGTGGAAGTACTTTAAAATGTCATACACATGCTTATATAATATGCACATTTACGTACTTAACATACATACAGTTTAAAAAAAAAAAGGAGTCCTGTTGCCAATTTCTACAAATTTCACACAAGAAGACAATTTATTGTTGTGAGCCTTAAAAATCATAACTAGCCGATCAGCCCTTTGTTATGAAAGGTCACTTCGTCCAGACACCTGCTGTGTCCTTTATCAATAGAAAAAAAGAAGCACACACATTTACTTACTGCTTTTCAATAGAAAAAAAGAAGCACACACATTTACTTACTGTTTTCCCATGGAAAAACGAATTCCTGTTTTCGATATAGGGTAAGAAAACTGATCTTTATTAAGCCCCGTTCAGAGAGGTCATGGGTTTTTCTGCATCATTAACAATTAAATCCTACTATCAGAAATATTACTCCTTTTTGGAAAAGTAGGTAATACAATATTCTCAAAACGATGTGATTTTTAAAGACAAGCCTGATACTGTCATAGTTTGTTAATCTTAACGGCTTCAGTCAAGGGTCTCTTAAATGCCGTTACAGTGTTATGATAAGAACGGAATTCATTTTCCCCATTCCTATTTTACATTTGTAAGGTAAAGGCACAAGAGGCAAAAAGATTGCTTTTCCACATAATAAAATTGTCTTTACACCTCCTGGTAAGAAAACCCCACTTTCCATACCCGAAGCATCCTAAGTAAATCACCATAGAATAGAATCCTATTTCCAGACAGAAGGGGTGCCTTGAAATGTCCTTGCCCTGATAAGCAGATTCCCACCATGGAAATCCTTAGAGAGACCTCTGCTATTCCACTATGTGCGTCTCCAGCCTCCTTCTCCCTTTGTGTCCTGGGCTGCCTCTCTCCTGGGGCACCGTGACCCACAGCAACCTGAGGTGAGGGTGGCCTACAGCTCCAGTGTTCACTCCACCCCATGCAGGCATTCACAGTGGCAGCCACTGGTGCCGGGGTGCTCTCCAGCTCCCTGGTGCTTCAACTGTCTGCCTCTGTTTTGTTTTGTTTTTTCCCACTCCACAGTGTGTAACAAGCATAAGTGTGTCCACTTGACTGGTCTAGTGGGTGCTAACTGCTGTGTTACTGTTCTCAATTCACTCCGTAGCCAGTCAGTGTCTTGTTCAGCAAAGTGTAGCTGCTAGACCCCTGCCCCTAGCTCTCCCCTCAACTCCCCATGTGAGTCTGGTTTCACTGCTCTTAACTCCCGCGTAATGGCTGTTCTGTGCTAACGAACGTTGGACTCCAGATTAACAAAACAGAGGGCCGTAATAAAGAACTGGTCAATGGGAAGCCTCTATGAAAAGATTCCGAGGAAGCAGTCACTGAACCGCTCCATCATCCTCATATGTGAGACCCTCGGCCAGTTCAGCACACCGCATCTGAAGATGCTGAGTGACCGACAGCCCATAATTGTGAACAAAAGAACCTAAGAGAAAGAAATGTCAGAGGAACAAAATCAGGAGAGAAAAAAAAAATTCTCTTCTCCACACCCCTCTTTCCCTTAGTGTATAGATAGCATCTCCATCCTCACCCCAAGATGTTTAAGGACAAGATATTTTTATTTTTATTTTTTTATTTTTATTTTTTTTTTTTGGTTTTTCGAGACAGGGTTTCTCTGTGTAGCTTTGCGCCTTTCCTGGAACTCACTTGGTAGCCCAGACTGGCCTCGAACTCACAGAGATCCGCCTGCTTCTGCCTCCCGAGTGCTGGGATTAAAGGTGTGCGCCACCACCGCCCGGCCGACAAGATATTTTTAAAGATAAGAGAATAAGAAAATCATTTTTTCTGCATTTTCCATATGATTTTCACATTCCGATTCAGACCTAACATGCCTAAAATATAATAGGTAATATTTTCTACTAACGTTGAATTTTTTAAAATTAATGCTAATTGCGTAAGACTCTAACTATGGAGAGCATGAAAGTCTCCTTCTGAAGAGGAAGATTTTTTTTTCATGCTGTCCTTTCTCCTCCCTGTAGATGTGGGGCGCTACATGTGGGCGACCATATCCTCTCCATTGACAGCACGAGCATGGAGTACTGTACGCTCGCAGAAGCGACCCAGTTCCTGGCCAACACCACTGACCAGGTCAAGCTGGAGATTCTCCCGCACCATCAGACCCGCCTGGCCCTGAAGGGACCTGACCACGGTGAGAGGAGCCTTCCCGATCCTTCTCTTTATCTCACTCTTCCTGTTTCCTTCTGACAGAGAGTTAGGAAGACAAGGATGTCTCCCTTTATCCTATTACCAGCTTATCTTCATTCACCCTTCTGCATCTTCAGAGTCCCCTTTTTACAAGCATGCATAGTTACCGGAAACCCCAAAACAGAAGAAAGAAATACTGAAATTGAAATTTCAGGCTAGAACTATTTGTGTGTTTGCTGATTTTTTTTTTTTCTGTGTGTGTGTGTTTGCTTAAACTTTGCTGTAAATTGAGTATTATGGGAAGGAAAATGATTTGACTTCCTGATGGTCCACAGTGAATTTTGACTATCTGAAAAGGACAATGAAAGCAAGCATTAAAACTCACAAAACAAACCAACCAACCAACAAACCAAAACCATAAAACCAAAACCACACTTAGCAGCAAGGCGGCCAGGAAGAGCTGCCTTGCCAAGGACATCACATAGCGTTAACCTTTGCAGCCCTTTCCCACCACCATCAAGTCTCTGAATGAAATGTTTTTGCTATTCTAAAATAACATATAACAAATTCATATTAATAGCAGATCCATTCAATACTCATCAGGGAGAGACTGTTGGATGAAGGGTTGATTTCTGTGTTTTTGTCAATTTGCTGGAATATTAATACCCTAGGATAGAGAACACACTTTCTGCCAAGGAGAGTGAGAATGATAGACTCCTTGTTGGTAAACAGAGTCAGCTGAGGGAATCTGCGTTCTCACTGTCGTGCGGTGTCCAGATAAGTTTTCTCAAAGTATAAAACCATCCTCTTGGGCATCTTAAACAAAATATGGAACCAACACAAGACCATGAGCCATGAATCCAGGAAGTCAGTGTGTCTGGTGGAGTCTTCGTTCCAATTCCTTTGCCACCTATTAAAGCACACTCCACCACCCCTTTGTCAGTCCTGGAAGCAGGAGGCCTCCCTACTGTTGGCCATTTTAACTGAAAGAGGAGCATGTGCTTTTCTGCAATTAGCAGCAGCCGGGTTTTCTAGCGTTGGAATTTTGCTTGTGGGAAGGTCATTTGCATTGTGTTTCTCACCTTCTAAAAAGGCACTGCACTTCTCTACAGGGGGACTTAAAAAAAAAAAAGAAAGGGACGAAATAATTTTCATACTGAATGAGTCAGCTGGATGCAACCTTTTTTAATTAAATGGAGCTTAGACAGCCCCGAAGCTAATGATAATCTCTAGTACAGCGTGTTGCCCTTATCAGATTTTAATTTGACACATTGGAGTGGGGAAATGATGCAACATAGGCAGGTTAGGATTGGAAATCAGCACAGCTGAATTGAGGCTCCAAGGAGCTAGAGGATGCTGAGGCTAGGGATGTGGGAACGTGCCCAAGGTCTCACCCCGAGCCCTCGAGGTGTGGGATGGCTAAGACTGTGGGTCTTCTCGGTATATATGAAGTCAACATCGGACTTTGAGTACAGAAGTTTTAAGACTGCATGCTGTGCTTTTGGGGGGAGATGTGCCTTCATGTCTGGAATCAGTAAGTCAGAAATGTAAGCAAACCCTTTCAAAATGTTACTGGGTTGTTTTTTTTGTTTTGTTTTGTTTTTTGTTTTTTTAGCAACCTCATTATTTTACTTTTTCTGCCCTGATGCAAATCTTAAATAGTTCAAATGGTTCCCAACTCATGAAATATTAAATATTTTTACCTGCCAAGATAATTTGAAAAGATGAAGCATTTATACGCCGAACTAACTGTATGCAGCAAGAACACACTGTTTTTCTTTTCCTGGAAGTGCTGACGTCATTGATATTTGTCCGGCAGGAGGCTAACAGTCTAGAGCTGACTGTCCTCCTTATTAGGCATATTAGTGTCGCCCCTATGTTTTACATCAAAAGCAGACTCTCTAAAATAAGTAGTGGCCTTTAAACACCATCATATCTTAGTCCTGAGAGAAAATGGTTGAAAGAGAATGTGGGGTGGCTTTGCAATTCTCAAGCTTCTAATTTTTGTATTAGTAAGGTCTGACATATTTTCATCATTCTCCAAAAATATCAGTTCTGGTTGCTTTCTCCAGTCTGCGGTGCCTGGGAACTGTTTCTCTTATCTCATGAAAATATGAAGATCCAACATTTTTCCAAATTTGATTAGCAACAAAGCATTCATCACAGTGATTCTAGAGCAATGTGGAAAAGGACGAGCCAACTCTCCCTGGTAAACACCTGTAGTCACAACACTGGCAATGGTGGCCTTTTCAGGGCTAGCTGTGCCGCTCAGGGGGAGCATGCTTGCCTAAGCGCGTACCCTATGGTCTAGAGTTGCCTCCCCAGCAACACAGTTAAAAGGGAAAATATTAGTTTTCATTGAAGTTGAAGTTTTCCCACTGCACATTTTGGGGAGACATAAACTTGACTGAAGGAAAGGGGGCTCTAGGAAAGTCAGTGTGGCCAGTGGCCACTAGGCTTCATTTGTTCAAAGCAGAAAAATACATCATTCTATGATCTCCGGGACCAACCACCAGACTACCTGTCACCCATTCTAGGGTGACAGGGCAAGAGAACACAATGAGGAAAACAAAAGACAGTACTTTGTGTGTCCTAAGTATCTGAGGACATACGCTGGCATGGGAAGCACCGTGGTTTCAGTTTGTTGTCTCATCTGGAGCAAGGGCTTTAGAAGACTACAGGAAGAGGAAGTGCAGCATGGTGGCTGTGGGCCGAGCTCTAGAGCCGACTTCCAGAGACTTCATTCTGACGACAACTCTTGGGACCGTAAGAAAGCCACCCGACTTTTTCTGTCCCTCGAGTTCTTCATCTGTAAAGTGTGGGTGATAGTCATGCTCACCTCATCAGAATACCATAAGCAGCATCACCCAAGACCCCATGAAAAGGCAGCTAATGCAGCATCAGGGATGCAGGAAGAGTATGATGAACATATACCACTATTATGGCACAGTTAAGTAAAAGAGTGCCTGTGAGTTCCCTCTACAAAATGCAAGAAAATGCCCAAAATGTAACATCTTACCACTAATCTCCTAGGATACTTATTTAATATGTGAGTATCAGACATACCACTTTAAAATATAAATGACTTGGAGTATACATTCCAAATGGGCATTAAATGTGCTCTCTATCCATGTTAGTCTTAAAATACCTTTTGCAAAAGCCCTTCATATATCATGAGTCCAACTTCTTGCATCATTTATATCATTTTACCTCATCATCATTGTACATATATAAAGACTTAGTCCCTGATAGTAGTTCTGGCCTCGTTCTCATCTGCCTACAACAACTGGCCCTGGGATAGGGTACACAGTAGGTGATCAGCAATACCTTCCTTAAGGATTCACTGATTTGGCTTGACGATTCTAATAAATGTTCAGTAGTTCTCAGAGTACTCAGTAAAGAGCTGAGGTAGGGGTAGAATTCTGAGGTCTGTTCACTCTAGCCTGGCTTCATTAAAAACACAGACAACACCTTGTTAAGAGGACAATAGAGTGGCTGTGATGGCTGATTAGCCAGACCCAGCACTAACAGCACCTTGTGACAAGGTGTCTTGTGTGCCACAGAGTAAAACAAAGATGGGTGGGGGGAAAAACAAACAAACACTAGTGTCTTGCCTAAAATACTCCTTTATCTCAAGGGAAAAGCTGTTGCCAGGCAGATGTCAATCATTATGTCCTGGGTACCATTCTCATCTCTAGGAAGCAAGACAAGTAGAGCTCTATTCTTACAGGATGTGCATTCTGGTATAAAGAGACTGTTAACATGTATTGTATCCTAAGGCCATTTCAGGAGGTAATAAGGGATGCACAGGATACATAGCAGTTAGTGAGCTAACATGGAGATGGCAGCTGCTTCCCCCAGGAAGGTCAGCGTTAGCTCTTCAGTAGCGATAGCCCCGGAGCTAAGGCCTGAATGATGAGAAGGAGCTAGCTGTACCAACAACGGGAGGGAGCCAAGGAGGCACAAAAGCCACAATGAAACAAGGAAGGTGGCCAACCAGCTCGTTCACAGAAGCATAAGACAAGTGTGGCTGAAAGATACGGATGGATAGTAAATGATCCAGAAAAAAAAAAAAATGAGAAAGTAGACTGTCTGATTCTCCTTGCAATATAAGCCATGGACACAGGAGTGACATGACTGAACACATACATTCAAAAGTTCCCCTACATGTGTTATGGATTCTGGAAAGCAGGTGCAGGATGTGGATCAGAGGGCCAAGTGTGGTGGTACTGCGGTGGTCTAGAAGGAGATAGTGACTGAGACTGAGAGAATCCATAGACACAGGGACCCCAAACCAGCTATTCCTGCAGAAGGAAAGGTCCAGTTCCAGACCATAAAATTCCAGTGTCTGTGAAAAGGGTTGCCTTTAAAGACTTGGGACAAATCTTCTAAAATCGAAGTGTCAAGGGAGTGGAACTTGTTGACAAAGATCGCATATTGCCCTTAAGGACATTCTGTTGTCGGCAAGTAGCTGGAACAGTGGGGAGCATCGGCGCTGTTACCCGTAGCTCACTTGCCTGTGTTCTGTGGATCAGCACCAGGCTGAGCACACCGTAAGCGCATAATTCCCACAGCAGGAAGAGAAGCTTTCATGAGCCAGTGACTATGAAAACACTGAGGCGGAGTAGCTGGCAAGGTCAAAGAGAAAGTGAGGGACAAAGACAAGTCAGTGAAGCCCAGGGCAGCCTCACTCCAGGAGACCTGTCCATGCTAGAGCTTTTGCTCCAGAGAGGGTGAGAAGGGCGAGGGATGCCCTCCCAGGCTGTTACCTCAGGAACAGTCATTTGCATGCATGCCAAGCCTTCAACTGCTTTGTGTGAGTCACTACTGCAACTCTTTCAGATTCTTAGCCATAGAATCATAAATGCACATCAAAATTCATGGTTGTTTTCAACTCTTCGAGATCATTCAGTGAAAAAGTATCTATCAGACACAGTGACATAGTTCTAATACTATTCATTTTCCAGAATGCCAGATAGAAATTTAATTTTTCCTTGTTTTGAAGGCAAAGCCTTTGATCTGGTTAATTTCAGGGTGTGAACTTATTTTTTTGCAACATTTAAATAATAAAGTTTAAAATTAAAAATTACAAAATATAGCCCAGGCTGACCTCATATTTGCTGTGTAGCTTGTGATGGCCTTAAACTTTGGATTCTCCTGCCTTTCTGCCTCTTGAATGCTGGGGTGATAGACATGTGCCACCATGCCTGGTTTATGCACGCCGAGTACCAAACCCAGGGTTCTTGTAAGCAACAGGAGCACTCTACCAATCACACCAATCCGCACCCACAAAATTCAAGTCTTAATAACAGCAAATTTAGAATGGAAACATGCTAAACTTTTTTTTTTTTACAAAAATGAAAGGGACACCCAAACTTTGAAGTTAACCTCATAACAATTTTGATGCTGTATGAATGAAATAAAATAATATTAAACCAAATGTTTCCCATACAAATAAACCTTTTAAAAATTCATGAACTATATTGAGACTTTTCTCCTTATTAGGAAAGAGGAAAGATTCTGATAGGCGCAGATGATTACGACGGCTCATTGTTGAGGAGAATCAAGTCGGAGGGATGGATAGCGGTGTAATTAAAACGTCAGGGTCGTAAATTGGGCCCTGTGACTGTTCCAGCTCGGGCATCACAAGCCAGCATGATTAACTGTTCCTTCTCCTCCTTTTCTTCAAAGAAGTGCTTCTCACTGACCAAGATTTGCAAAGCTTTAATTACTAATTGCGTGCCATAGATCTTCATGGGGATGACTTTTAAGTTTAAAAAAAAAAATGTTTTTTAATCTCTGCAGTGAAGCGCAGGGGGAGATTAGAAATTGATTCAGTAGTCATTTTAAAGGGAGAAAAGATGGGCTGGGGAAAAGGCATGCATTATTCTCGGGAAGATGAAAAGTCTCCATGGCTGGTGTTAATCATCTCTTTTGCTGACCATTTAGAAAAGGGTAAAACCAAGTAGATTTCTTTTTTTTTTTTTCCTTTGCAAGCAGCTTTCATTTCTGTTAACAATTTTTCCTTTTCTTTTTTTTTAATTTGTGCAATTCAGTTACTTTTTCCTCTTTTTTTTTTCTTTCTTTTTTTTTTTATTTCGTTTTTGGTTCTTTGTTTTCCTCGTTCCTCATCATCACGTCATATGGGCAGTGAAAATTCAAAGGAGCAGCAGACAACTTCCCTGGGATTCCTGGGCCAGCAACCCGAGCAGCCTTCACACCAACCATCACCATAATCCGTACCACCCAGACCATTGCAGAGTGCCGGCCCTGACTTTCCCGAAAGTGCCTCCTCCAAACAGTCCTCGTAATGTTCCACACTTTCTCCTCCTGGTCCTTTATTTGGTTATCTTCTCCTCATTGCCTCCTTCCCCTAACTTACGACATCTCCAGCTTCGTGGGTGTGGCCTGCTTCCTGTTGTCACTGTTGCTTCGTACTAACAACGTGTCCTTTCTGGCCTCTGGCTTCTTCTTTTCTACTGTCATTATGAAAGGACGCAAGGGGATGGCCAGGTCGCTTAATGATAGGTGGCTTGCCTTGCATGTGTGAGGCCCCGAGTTCAAACCAAAAAACAATACAGAGAGAAAAATGTGTAAATGTTCAGAAGGCTTTATAAGCAGCTCAGGAGACAACTCAGAACGTTGGAGTGTGGTGGTCTCAGATCTCCATGTATGTGAATCACTTAAGACATCCATGTCAGAAAATACCCCCAAAATGACATTGTGTGCACTGATGTCTTAAGTTATTAATGGAGAAATCCATTTTAATCTTTGTTTTTGTCTAAAGTAAAGTTCATAGTCTGTGTGTGCGTACCCACATGCTATGGAGGACCCTGTTCCTCAAAAATCACAAACTCATGTGACTCTAAGATTCTTAAGCGCTGACTCCAGGGCCTGGTCTCTGTCCAGATGTGGGATACTGACTAACTGTGGCTGTGTGTCATATGTCCCTTTGGGTTGTTGCTGGGTTGGCAGGGGTGGCAGGCTCAGGCCCCACCTCGGAATGCTCCATGCCAAGTCTCCACTCTCTTCCAGCGGCGATGGTGTCCTCATCTTCTCCTACCTCCATGAGTGCGTACAGCCTGAGTTCCCTGAACATGGGGACTTTACCTCGAAGCCTCTACTCCACTAGCCCACGAGGAACCATGATGAGGAGGAGGCTGAAAAAGAAAGACTTCAAAAGCTCACGTAAGTGGAATGCTAACTAGGGGATCCATTTGGTCCCCAGAAAAATGTGCGCATCCTCTAAAAGGTAAGGTAATTAGGGAGATGCTGTGTAGCCGGTAACTCTGGGCTAAGGACCATGACGGAAACCCGTCATCTGTCGGGTAATGCGTACACTGAATATAACTTCAGACTGATTTAGCTTGTACTACCTTTTCCTACAATGACTTTGCCTATAACAATTTTGTTTCCTTTCTCTTTTAATGTCATTTGAGATGCCTTTCTACTCTGGGTAGCTTCAGGCATAAACATCTGTTGTTCATATCGTATCCCTTCTAAAGTTGTTGTGCACAGACTTTGCCCCTCATTTGTTAAGTAGGAGACTTGTACATTTGTTTAACACAATCAGTTTCATATTCTGTTTCTTAACCTTCTTTCAAAAACAGTGAGTTTGAGCATTCCTTTTCAAATTCTCATTCCCCAGTTTCCTTTACCTTTGTCTAATGACTGGACACGGAGACTCACCTCTGTTGCATGTACTTCTTGGGTTTAATATAATATTTTTATTTATTCTTTATACATTCATACAATGTATTTCAGCCATATAAATGCCCCCACCCCCTCTCCAACTGCTTTGGGATTCTTCCACGTTCTCCTCCCAGCTGCTTGTAATGCTGCCCATATAGGCACGGGGTATCCACTGGAAAATGGTTGGCCTGCAACCTTGAAGAACAGTGACTGTCCTCCCTTCAAACAGCCATCAACTGTCAATAGCTCCTCAGCTTGGAGTGGAGGCGCATGTGCCCCTCCCACATCCTCCCTGTGTAGTTAGAGTTTTTCTCTCCAGGTCCCGCCAAGCCCCAGCAGTCCCATAGCCCACTTATAAAATAAACATACAGACGCTTATATTATTTAAACTGCTCGGCCATTAGCTCAGGCCTACCATTGTCTAGCTCTTACTCTTATACTCAGCCCATTTCTGTTAATCTTTATGTTGCCACGTGTTCCATGGCTTTACCTGTTGCCTCTACATGATGCTCCCTGGATGGCAGGCTGGCGTCTCCTCCTCTCCGCCTTCCTGTTCTCTTAATTCTCCTCTCTGCTAGTCCCACCTATACTTCCTGCCTGGCTACTGGCCAATCAGTGTTTTATTTATCAATCAATCATCCACAGTACTTCCCCTTTTTCTTTTTTTTGCTTACAGACTGTATGGCCGTGGCAGGCTTCTTACTATCTAGTTCCTCTATCCTAAATTAACCCATTTCTATAAATCTATACCTTGCCACATGGCTCGTGGCTTACCAGTATCTTACATGTTGGAACTCATGACGGTGGCTGGCAGTGTCTCTCTGACTCAGCCTTCTTGTTCCCAGAATTTTCTTCCCTACTTGTCCCGCCTATATTTCCTGCCTGGCTACTGGCCAATCAGTGTTTTATTTATGCAGAGTGATATCCACAGCATCCCTGGAATGTGGCTTGATCTTGTATAGGTCTAGTGCCTGAAGTCACAGTTGCTGTGAGTTCATGTAAGTGCTAGCCTGCCATGTTGGGAAAATACTGTTTCAAGGCAGTTGCCCACTACCTCTAGCTCCTAGAATTAATCTTAACCATCTTCCTTGATGTTCCCTGAACCTTGATGTGTGTGTGTGTGTGTGTGTGTGTGTGTGTGTGTGTGTCAGGGAGGGGGGGGATATAGATGAATAGACACTTATCCTCTGCATGTTAAGCAGTTATGAGTCTCTGTATTAGCTGCCACCTACCACACAAAGATGCTTCTCTGATGAGGGCCACACTAGACTATGCTGTAGTGATGTGCATTTAGAAGGCAGTTTGGTACTGTGTCCATTTAAGAACTATAGAATTAAGAAAGCTACAAGGATGCTAAAATTCACAAAAGTATTCTAAAGTCTAAGAACTTCAATTCTTGAAAATATTTTCTGGGATATATAGCCAAGCTTATAGAGACGAATAAAGGCTAAGGAAGTATGGCTGGCCATTTGCTCTGAGATAGCATGATCTATATAGAAAGAACAAATGGCTAGATCCTTCTATAGTGAATGAACACGGGTTATCCCTAATTTTTTTCTTTTCTGTTAAAGAATCTGGGTATCTTCCATCTTAATCATATTTAAGAGGAGAAAATGCCCATATTTCCAGCTAGATCTAAAATCATAGTTTAGTGTATACGGTGCCCTGTATCTTTTTTGGTGGCTGTGATTGTGATTCCTATAAAGAAACTGAAAGATGATGGAGTCTACTTCTATGTCTACCATGGAAATGAAGTGGAGGGACATTTGTAAATTACTTCAATAGTGTCCAACCCAGCAATGTCAAGGGTGGTGCTGACAGGAGAAGGGTCTTTCAGCTCTTTAGTTTGTGTGCCAGAGAGTTCTTAGCCCTAGGAGATCTCTCATGAGCCCATCAGTACCACTAATAGTGGGGACAGCAGCTATCACCCACTCTAGGAAGTAATTTCTTCAAGTGGTAGGAACCTGAAGCCTTCACTATGAAGACATGGCCAGCATCTTTAATTTCCTGGTGGTGTACACATCATTTTTGACTTGTTGATCCTTTCTAATGGAAAACTTGGGGGATGTAGAGAGATAGGCCAGTGGCTAAGGATGTGTTCTGCTCTTGCAAAAGGACCCAGGTTCCATTCCCAGTACCCACATCAGGTGTCTCAAAGCCATTGGCAACTCCAGTTCCAGGGGACCCTATGCCATCATCTGGCCTCTATGGGCACCTGCATTCATCACCTATATAGATAGGAAATGGACAGACATGGATAGATAAATGGACACACGCACATTAAAAATAAATTGTGTGTTCAAATATAAGGCTTGTCACCTTTAGTAAATGAAATTAACAATATTTTAAGTTAAGAAAATGAAAGAATGAACTTTGTCAAAGTGAACCAAAAAAAATCTAGATTTCTGTTCGTTTCCTAACTAAGGCGAGAGAAAATTATTTGGCCTGGGCAGAGACTCGTTGCAGCTACTCGGCAAACCAATTATGAGCCTGACTCTACATACTGGGGCCTGTCACCCCAACATTATGTTCTAACTGTAGGGCCTTGAGCAAGGGTCTCAAGCTTTTTATGTTCTTGCTGAAAATGGGGATAATTATAGTACTGACCTTTTGGCAGTAGACAACCAATTCGAGAGAGAGCTACTGGGAGGCTTTATTTGTTAGGGCCGTGAAATTTTGCCACCTGTAGTGACCACCATCTTTAAAGGGGCAGGCTCATGATTTAACAATTACACTTTGCCAAAACCCACAGATCTTGACTTGAAGTGGGTATGTATATATCCCTGTATATTTTTTATGGTATCTTCATGTGCAGTGCTCATTACTAACAGAAAGAGGCTCTATCCCTCAGCAGGACAGAGCCATCACAGTCAAGTCATTAATGTTTGTGTTTCTGCTCTGAAGCCTAGCCACCTGTGCCTGTTAAGTAAAGCCTGCTGTGTTGATTAAGGTCATCAGTGAATATGAAGGACTGTTAATACATCTGCCTGTCTCACCCTGATACTTGCACATCTTGAAATTCGCAACAAGAAACAAAGCTGAGGCCTGACTTTCCCCTCAGCGACTCATAAATTCTCTCTTGAATCAGTACCCAATCATTCAACTGTAGCAAGAAGATAGACAGAAACCTGGGTTGATAATTTCCAGGTCATGTTTGCTGCAGGTGGGAGCCACTAGGGCCCCCAATGACAGTGTATATTACAGGATGTTTATAAAAGCATCTCAAGAAATCATACACTTTATATCTTAATGACTCAGTCAAGCCCAAATGATATGAGCTTTTATTTCCACTTAAAATACATGAAAAATGAGAGTCTTCCAATTTTGGGGGGGAAAGTTCAGAATTTCTTTTCTTTGTTTTGTTGCTTAATATGGCCATTTTAGATGTAAAGAACCCAAGTAACTGAAAATAAAAACTTTATTACCATCCTCACTATATGCCTTGGTTTCTTCCCCTGTTTTTATTTATGTCTTCATTCTGGGCTGCCATTTGCAGCCTAGTTTCTAATAGTTATGTTTCTATAGCAACCAGGCCATTCATGGATGATGAGTCACAGTGAAAGCCACAAAGATAATAAAAAAGTCTCTTTGCTCTATTGTTGATGAGGCCATAGTTTACAAAACAGAACAAGAAATTCTTACATGTATCTGCAGGATAAAGTAAGGACATTGCCAGAAAACAATGACAAGTTCTCACATAAATATCGAAACCCTCATCGTCCAAAGAGGAAGGTACAGAGAAGTCTATAACAACAATATGTTATCTACAGCGAGAAGGTGTAGTTAGTGCTTGTTTCCGAGGGGGGGAGATGAGTTCTGTGAGCGCCAGGCTTTGAGTGGAGTCACAGAGCCCAGGAACAGCTCCAAGCTATGTCACAGTGGAAACCCAGTCCCACTTCTGGAATCTTCCGTGCCCCTCCCCACTGCCAGGGCTACTCCCTTTTCAGCCAGCAAGGCGAAGGCTGCTCCCAGACCCCGTCACCCACTGTCCCAGCGACATGACTGCCCAGTGCTTAGCCCTTCCTGCTCCTGCCGACAGAGCCTGTGGGGTGACCCCGCCTGTTCCCAGTTGACCTGGATTATAGCACACAGCAGAAGGCAGGAAGACACTCCCAGAATGTCCTTTGTTTCTTTGGTCATTATTACTTGCTGCTAGAGAGGGTGAGACTGGGAAGCGCTGAAAGGCAGGAGATGAAGAAACCTTACAGTTTCCACCATCCTTTCCGTCGACCCCTAAGGAAAGGACAGAAGATAAAGGCGGCTCACGGTAAGCTTGCAAGAGTGACCGGTAAGCTTGCATGAGTGACCGTGCCAGGAGTCGGAAAGCAGACAGCTTAGATGCCTCTTCAGCTCTATGTAGAGAAGGAGCTGTCCAGCCCCCACCCCACCCCGAGAATGGATCATGTGATTCACAGTGTGTTGGGTCCACAGCAGGCCAACCTCAACCCTGGAGCTTTAGTGAGGCGGAAGTCTCAAATAGCGGGATCAAACAACAAAAATACATTATCCTATCAAAACCCTGGGGCTCTTTTTTTCTCCCTAAACTTTTTAAACGTTTTTTTTTTTCTATCTGACAATAAAGTTCACAGCCTCTATAATTAACCCATTAAAAATAAACATTCAAAAGTTTAAAAACCACTCACTACCTTTGGTTTCCTGACCTTCCCTGGTATTTGGAAAGACTAATAGAGCTGAAGAATTTGTTCCCCACAAACCTAGAGAGCTATGAGTGGATCTAGCTGTGTGGGTGGAAATGGGGAAGAGTAGATGGACTCTGGGATGCACACTAGGAATGTGCCACACACACATCAAACTCCAGAGGGCGCCTTTCTTCTTTTGCGGGCCAAGCACACTGATGAAGCAGGCTAGTCTCTGCCAACTTATATAGTTGCTTCTTGTGTTCTTCTGGCTCTTGATCTTGAAGTCTACAATTTGTCTTTTTTCAAATGTAATGCTTTCTATGGATTTTAATGCAAGTGTCCACACATCCTGATCCCCACCCTCTTCCCTGCCCACGGCTGGGAAATGGGAGAACCTGGCTGTAGGATCCCACTATGAAGTCTTTCCTTTTCCTCAGGGAGCTGTAAAAAGGGAAACTTCAATGCCCCACCTAGCATCAGAACTCTCCTCAGAGTCTTTATCATGCTGTTTGTCTGTCTGTCTGCCCGTGGTGTTAATAAAATAACTCTTCTTGCAAGCTTCTTACCCCCCAACAATCTCTCAATGTCCCCCTGAATCCAATGTCAGAGACCTTTCACTTACCAATAGGAAATGGTATCTTCTAGTGGTTTTGTGTCATTGATAGCAAAAAGTGTGCTCTAGAAAACAAAATGCACACGTGGAAAAAGTCAGGCTAGAAAACGTATCAGAATGTGTTAGCCCCAAGTCACACGTTGGAATTTTAAGCTGTCCACCACCTGGGCAGCATATAGATGTGAGGACTGCTGCCTTCCCACACACAGTGAAAGCTGTTACCCATAACCCAAATGGGAAAGAATGATGATAGGCCTGTCGGGGGAAAGGCTTTGTTTTTGTTTTGGTTTTTTTTTCTAATTATTTATTACCTCTCTTAATCAAATGGCCCACCTCTCCCTCCCTTATACCAACCGTTCCAGTGATCTTCATGATAGAAAAGTTTGGGTGAGGACTGCTGGTTCTTAACGGTGACTCAGCAGCAAGTGAAGTATAATTTCCAAAAGGAAAATATAGATGACATTATAAAATAGTTCATTAAAGAAGAGATCATTTGACAATAGAATGGAGAAATCCCTGAGCACTACAGAACCCAGATATATGTATGTTAGAATGGCTGAAATAAAAGCCCAAAACAGGGCATTGAAAATAAAAGTGGAGAAGGTTATACAACCCTGAGAGGTGGGCAATTTGAGACGACAGGGAATCGTGAGTCAAAGGCTACTTTCAGATTTCCAGACCAGAAGACTAGAACATGATCATCTTGTCATAGACCTCAGGGAGGAAATGAGAAAGTCAGGATTACTTCCCTAATTTAGAAAACAATTTGAAGTCCTTGGAGATGTGTCTGTAGATGATGAAATTCTCCGCGGTGGGGAAAAAAAAAATTCCTCACTGACACTAGAGGGAGAGAGAAGATTCTGCAAAGGTCATAGGCTGGTGAGGGCCGAAATGAGCGAGCTGAGCACAGAACCAAGGTTGAGAATCTGTTTCATGGACCAGAGGATGGAGAAGGTACAGCCAGGGGCTGATACAGTGAGAAACTGATATCAAATCTTCACCGACACCTAAAGAGCAATTTACAAGAAAGGGAATATTCCTGGACCCAGTCACTATGCAGCAGTTAGAGTGAATGGGGCCATTGATTTTTTTTTTTCTTAGCAATCAGAGTCATCAGTGAGAGCAGCTTTGGCAGAGAGCAAAAGGAGACAAATTTGCAGCAGAGTCGGAATCAGCACAAATCGGCAGAGCAAGGTCAGAGAAGCTAGGAGAGTGAGTGGGACAGTTTAGAAAAGTGACATCGTCCATGACATGGAATCCCAGAAGGGCTAGAATGTGGAGAAAATAAAAAAAAAAAAGTCACCAAGAAGAATTGTGGTAGTCCATGCCTGGAATCCTATTACATGAGTGGTGGGAACTCTTGGGAAGGTCAGAAGTTCAAGATTCTCTTCAGCTTCATGGGCAGCAATTCTGTGACCAACCTGGACTCCCTGAGACTGTGACTCAAAGTAGAAAAGAAGCAGTATAAGAAAGAGTTAACGATGAATGGGGAAATTAGGAAAGAGGAGAAGGAAGAGATCAGTTGGGGGAGAAGAGACCCAAGAGGTTGGGGTGAAATGTTATCTATGAAACACTCGTTAAATGGGTGAACCTTGTCCTTCTCTTAGGAAGTGACATGTGACCCTTTATAAGGATGGAAGTATTTGAAATAGATCCTTAAGGAATTAAATTAGGGGAACATATATGCCAACAAAGGATTCTAGGGCCCAGTAGACCATAATAAGAATTTAGAGCTTTTTGTTTTTTTCCCCCTGACAGGTTTCAACAGTTCAGTACCAGACGGGGAGTTGACTAGGCATAACCAAAGAACAGAAAGTATATTAGCAAATCATGCAGTGTTTAAGAATCTCTGATGGTTACAGATGCTTCTCTGAAGTGGTCCCCAGGCTTCCAAGTACAGTGTGGAGAGAAAGGATAGAAATGAAAGGCAACAGATAGATAGATGAGGGCTTCACCACTACAGGCCCCAGGGTCTCATGTGACTCTGTGGGAAGAACTTTGGAGTCTTCCATCCCTGCTGCAGCTAGTGTTCTGTTTATATTTAAATTATAAAGGTGTGTGTGTGTGTGTGTGTGTGTGTGTGTGTGTGTGTGTGTGTGTGTGTGTATGCTTTCATTTAAAGAGGAACACTCTGTTGCACGTAACACCGTTTGAACCGCCGTAGGCCTGGAGACAAGGAACAGGAAATATTACTACAAATTAGAGAAGAAACTTAGATCATAGGAGCCAGGAAAGTCACTAATACAGGATGTGGTTTAAAAGGAGGATTCAAGTGTTAAGGTCTTGGGGATCTTTTAAAGGAAGATGGGATGCAGCCATGGGCTGTGTTGACAGAGAGCTGAAGAAGGATGGCTTTCTTAGAAAAGGGGCATTGAGGGAGCTGAAGTGCCATGAAGCGAGTGTGTTTGAAGGTTGTCACCACGATAAGGACAGAGAAAGCGAAAGGTTTAAGTTAGGATATGGGAGAGTCGGCAGCAAGAAAATGGGGAAATTAGAAAAATGCGAAAACTAACCTAAAAGATTAGGCAGCAGAAACATGTATAGAGTATGGAATTTTAGATAGCAGTTTGAGAAGGGAAAGCACTGTGAATGAGCAGAGTATCCAAAAAACCCTTCTCTTTGTCCCATGTAAAAGAGGGGGTATGGGTTTCAGTTGGAGCGGGGTTAGGAGTGTCTTTAAATTAAAGTAGGGGGCTAAAAGACCCATTTTGGAGAAAGTGACATTTCAGCCAAGGACCATTGCGCAAGCCATGCTCAAGCACAGGATGCCAGAGCTTGTAGAGAAAGGCATCTAGAAGTAAAGTGGTCCTTTCATGGTCAAAGCTGGGGATAAAAGTAAGACAGAGATGTCTGGCTGGAGGCTCACAGGGGTACCAGAGAATTCAAGACAATGGGTGACTAGAGGCTAAGCAAAAAAGAAAGAAAGAAAGAAAGAAAGAAAGAAAGAAAGAAAGAAAGAAAGAAAGGAAGGAAGGAAGGAAGGAAGGAAGGAAGGAAGGAAGGAAGGAAAGAAGGAAAGAAGGAAAGAAGGAAAGAAGGAAAGAAGGAAAGAAGGAAAGAAAGAAAGGAAGGAAGGAAGGAAGGAAGAAAGAAAGAAAGAAAGAAAGAGAAAAGAAAGAAAGAAAGAAAGAAAAAGAAAGAAAGAACAAAACACGGAGGGCCTGAATTTGGGGGCGAGTGGAATGTATGAAGCTTCATTGATTCACCACTGTGCCCACCCAGTCCTGGAGATAGATTGGGGACCAGCACAGCCGCACCATTCCTGGGACCACATAGAAATGGTGGCCTCAGAACAAAAGGTGGGCGTGTTCATTATCACATATGGCTGAAGTGGGAAAACTTTGACACACCATCCCAGCTCTCCTTTCCAGAGAAAAGGATACAGACATGCCGGGATGGAATGACCTGCCCCAGGGTCTTCTTCAGCTGATGCTTGTTTGTACAGCCCAGGACTAGATGGCATGCTCTAAACTCAAGGTTGTCCTGTTCTCACAGTCTCTTTCCAGTTCCTGGGACTGGGGCAGAGTGTGGCTACACTGGTCATGACCCCAATGTGACAAATTGGGAGATGTATTTACCCTGTTCACCTGGAACCCAATGTTCTGTTCTAAGACCTGTATTTAAACTCCCTCCGTTGCCCTGCCCATGAGCTTCCGTGCTGACATACTCTATTTTGGAAATGCCGGTACTTGTCTGAACTTCCTGTCACCTTCTCCCTGTTTGTCCCTTTAGTGTCTTTAGCCTCTAGCACTGTGGGATTGGCTGGACAGGTGGTTCACACGGAAACCACGGAGGTTGTGCTGACGGCTGATCCTGTCACGGGCTTTGGAATCCAACTGCAGGGCAGCGTGTTTGCCACAGAGACGCTCTCCTCGCCGCCTCTGATTTCCTATATTGAAGCTGACAGCCCAGCAGAGAGGTGGGTTGTTCCCCCCCCTTCCCAGAAGCCTCTCTGCCCTGTATGTCTAACCCCAGCAATCTGTAAATAACTAATAAATAATGTAACAGTGCGCAGTGCGGGGAAAAGCAAAATGTAGTTAACTCTCCATTCTGATGATAAAATTTTATGTTCCCGATCGGTTTGAGAAGCATTATGAGCACCAGTGATTTTATTTAGCAGATTTTGTCCGTTGGAAAACTAGAGGCTGTATTAATTATAAAGGAGAAAAATCTATACCAAAAAAAATGGCTAAAGTTCAACTGAAGTTATTACTCTGCATTGCAGGAATGTCTGTTCATCTTTACTGTCTGTTCATTCTGGTCAGGTTATAGTGCTATCATAGTGATGAATTATTAATATGCTGGATCCTTAAGAACCTCCTTGCCCACAGTTGTTACCATGGGACTCCAGAGTGCAGGGCATTGCAATTGACCAAACGTGCTCGCCAGTAGCCTTGGCTTAACAAGATCAAACGGTTAGGCTATTTTGTAAAGATTAGATGAGGTGGAGTGGCCAACTCAACTCCATGATTGTTTAACTACAGCCTCTCTCGTGTGGTTCTGAACTAGATGTGGGGTGCTGCAGATTGGAGACAGAGTCATGGCCATTAACGGAATTCCGACGGAAGACAGTACCTTCGAGGAAGCCAATCAGCTCCTGCGAGACTCTTCCATCACAAGCAAAGTCACACTGGAAATTGAGTTTGATGTTGCAGGTAAAATCTGAACCTCAGATCAGTGATAGAGTCAGGAGAGGGCTGCATGTGACTTACGTCAGCTATGTGGGAGAAAGGGGATGTGTGTGTGTGTGTGTGTGTGTGTATATATATATACATACATACATACATATATATATATATATATATATATATATATATATATATATATATATATATATATATACATGTATCCAACATGTTTTTGTTTAAGAGGCTTGTTGTGTCATTTTGAATTGTTTGTTTTATTCATTAAATGTCCACCCAAGAACTGAAAATCAATATGACAAATCACACAAGCGATATCCACCATGGATGGGGATGTGATTTTGAAAAGTTGTGTCGCCTTGACTCTTTCTAACTTTGCACCTTTGTGCGAGAGAAAGCAGATTCCTTAGACCCAGAAACAAGAACACCTTGTCTGAGAACATGCTGCGGTTAGGTAGGGAGCAGGGAAGACCCATGGGGTGAATGGATACAAGTCCAGTAGGCAAATAATTGACCTTTACTATTAAAGAGCAATTGCACTTGACACTTGTGAGGAGTGACAGGGAGGACAGTTTCACCAGGGTCAAGAAGATTATAACAGATGATAGAAACCATCTCTAAATACAGACAGGGAGGCTAGACATGGACAGCTGCCCAATGGGCAAGGTGAGTGTGAGGAGAACCAGTGGGTAAAAGAAATACTAAGAGAAACCCTAGATGTCAGAGGCAGGGAAGGGGGTACAGAGGTTTGCTAAACTGACTCTGAGGTATTCTTGGCATTCTTTTTTTTATCTTTACTCTTTTTTTAGTTGATAGACAAAATAATTTTGTGTTTTCATTTTCCTACATGTGCTTTGCTCATATTCATTCCCTACTATCTTTCCTATTTCATGTCTTCTCCCTCTCACTCCCCTCCCAAATAGTCCCCTACTGTTTCCATGTCATTCATAGATGGTAGGTAGATGATAGATAGATAGATAGATAGATAGATAGATGATAGGTAGGTAAGTAGATAGGTGGATGATAGATAGATTGATAGATAATAGATAGGTAGGTAGATAGGTAGATAATTAATCTAAGTTATATATATGACAAAGAATTAATTAATCTAAGTTATGTATATGACAAAGAACATGGGGTATTTTTTTCTTTCTCCCCACCTCCACCATTAACCCTCTCTCATACCCCACCTTCCAGGAAGATTCTTAGTAAAACTGGGATCCTAAGCTAAGGACATGTCTTAGTCTCAAAGGAGGAGTCTAGCAGAATTTTGGTCTTGGAGAGATTCTTGGAGAGTAGCTAACAGAGTTGAGAATTTGATGCAAGTTCCCATTTAAGATCATTGTCAGCTGGGAAGGGAGCTCGGTAGTACAAAGCTTGCCCAGGGTGCACAATGGCCCTGGATTTGATACCCAGCACTACTGAGGAAGGTCGGAAGGAAGGAGGGAGGGAAGAAGGGAGGGAGGGAGGGAGGGAGGGAGGGAGGGAGGGAGAGAGGGGAGGGGAAGATGGGAGGGAAGATAGGTTGGTAGGCTGGTTGTCGTCACACAGCAAAGTATGGACCCTACATGTCCCAGTAACTTTTACCAAAAAGTAAAGGCATACTTTTAGACACAAGGATCACATGCCAACAAATATTTGTCATGGGCCAGTGACTCTCCTGCAATAGCAGACAGGAAAGAAAAAGGTCCCTATCTTCATACAACTTTTAAGAGAAACAGAAATGTAATTTAAAAAGCTATCAGTGTGAGGTTTTTTGAGTGTACATTCTCCGAGGAAAATAGAGCGGAGTAGAGACTCACAGGGGGGCTGGAGGGGAGCTGTTTTTGTAGGATGAGTCTCTCAGGAAGTGACATTCAAGCAGAGATTAATGTGGGCAGAAGGCAGAAGCCAGCCGAGGGGCTGGGAGAACAGCCCTCCAGGCAGAGGGAACAGTGACATGAAGAGCTGTAGCCAGAGGAATCTGCCTGCGGTGCAGATGGTCGCTGGAGCAGTAGAGAAGGAATCAGAGCAAAGATTGAGTTTGGGTCTAGAGAAGGGCTCTGGGAGATCGGAGTCCAGCAGATGTGCAGGATCCTGGTAGAGAATTGCGGTTGTGCCCCCAAGTGTCCCCAACTCAGGTTACATTTTGGCAGGAGAGTGAGAGAATCTGAGCTGTGTTTGGGAAAGCTTTCTGAAATGTGCAGGGCAGACACTGAAACAATGGGAGATGTTGGCAGCTGGGCGCTTGGGGAATGGCAGTGGCTTTCCGGAGATGTGACACAGTGACTTGCAAAGACGGTGTTTTTGTCAGGTAATGACTCCTGGGGTGTGAGGATGAATATGTGAGAGGCCAGGAGAGACGATTAGGAGAACACAGGAACAGGGTCGTCTGGGGACAGTAGCCTGAGTCCTGTTTTAGATATGTGGTGACATGTCCACCAAGAGCATCAGAGTCAATGCCAGCCTACTCATGTCTTCATCCAGAAGGGGCACGCGGAATGTATGAAGCCCAAATGATTCACCACCGGGCGCAATTACTGAACTGGATGCTGCTGTGTTCACGGTATCGGAAGAGGAAATAGGAAGGACCAGCATGTTTCCTGGAGGACCTCACAGCCAATCAGAGAAGAGAGGGAGTGGCTGGAAAGGGAGGACTTATGGGATTGTACAGCTTAGGATGTGGGAGAAGTACCTGGGAAGGTGTCCACAGTGCCTCTTGGAGCCCAGGATGGGGGGTGTCGGGGAGTATATCTGAGAATGGAGCAAGACCAAGAAATGGCCAGGGTGTCCATGTTGCTAAAGTCATCGAGAAAAAGAGTGACCCCAAGGGGGGGAAAGGAGGCACAAGAAAATCACTTGGTGAGCAGGAGGTTGTCAGCACTGCCTCGGGGATCCTAAGTCTAGGAGTGAATTGATGTCGGCAACAGGGATAAAGATAGTTCAGGGCCAGAGAGTTGACTCAGCAGACAGAGGTGCTTGACAACGACAGGACTGATGACCTCAGTTCAGTCTCCAAGAGACACAAGATAGGAGAGAACTGTTATGCCCAGATCATGACCACAAAGAGACCACCGAAGACCATAGATGCCCAGAATGCAACGGCAAGGTTTATTCTATAGATACAAGTCTAGACAGGGAACTCATTCCTACACCCAATACAGTGAGGCAGGGAGGAGTTGCTCTTTCTTTGTGTGGCTAGCTTTTTAAAGGCAGAAACCACAAGTCCTTCGGGGGTTGGGGGGAACCGTGCAACTGTTCTCTTTTAATTGGGTGAGGGTATGTAACCTTTGAATTTACTGGTCGGTGGTTACAATTATCACTTTGGGGGCAGTCCAGCACAAATCCCAGGCTTTGTCCTTGAGCCGCCATGGGGGCTGACTGGCCAAGCATGTACTGACTGTGGGGGCTGGCTCAGTGGTCCAGGCTCTTTCCTTGACTCACACACATAACTCTAAGTTGGTGAGGGGTCCCAGACTGTAAACATCTGACTGAACTTTGAGCAGTCAGAGTACGTGCAGAAAGGGAGCTACTGCAAGGACTATGTCTCTTGTTCATGGCCCTCCCAGAAACTGCTTGCTCAAGTCTCAGGAAACTGAAATTGAGGCCTGATCTCTGAGAGAAGACTGAGCAGCCTGTTATGGCATCTGCTTGGTCCTTTCAAGAACCACCTATAAACTGTCTTCTGCTCTACACACACACACACACACACACACACACACACACACACACACACACACAAACATACATGCACAGATGTTACCCACATACATGCACACATATACACACAGACAAACACACACATACCTACACACACATACACAAACACACACACTAAATATATAAGAAAGTACAGCAACAGAAATAGAACCCACGAAGGTGTGACTTAGGAAGACAAACAGTCCCGAGTCCAGAGTCTTGACGGCATATAGATGCTGCAGGAAATTCGGGTCCCGTTGGCAGGAAGTGTCCGAGTTTGGTGACTGGATGGGGTGGGATCTGAGGAACCAAAATTCGATCTCTATGAGAAAACTGTAGGAAGGGTGAGGAGTGCGTGCTCACTGACTGCCCAGGACTTGGCAGGAAACACTCCACGAATATATAGACGGCACAGAAAACTGCCATTGGACCCAGATACCAAACTTTGGCTGCATTTAGTTAGGTAAATCCTACTCCACCGTTCACATGACCTTATTTAGTAGTTTCTCCACAGGGTTATTTGACTTGGAATGTTTGGAAAGGCTGGGTTTAGCTCTGGAGACGGACAATGGGAAGCTAGTGGAGGAGACTCACGGTCTAGGTGGGATGTTACTCTGTGTCTTGTTGATGCTGCAGAGATCTGAGCAAGTTGAGGCCTGATAGTTATGAGAGAGAGAAACGTGATCCTTCAAATCAGGTCCTCAAAGAAAGAGCAGGGGAAGAATCCAGAATGTCATAAGTAACTTGTCTGGGGCAGGAGGTTGAATAATAACAAGTGCCCTCACCACTGAGCCAAGTTCCCAGCCCTGGTTTTCTTTGTTTTGAGGAGCCTCAGCTACCAGAGAATTAAGAGCAGAGAAAGGGATAGTCCTGCTGAGCCACAGTTTGCAACTTCCAGAGAAAGCTCAGCAGAAGGGCCTCGGTGCAGGAGGGTCAGGTTGTTGCTAGGAGACTAGGTGAGCTGTCATGATTGCACATGAGGATCGTGATGTGAGAGTGCCTAACCTCTGGCCTGTGACACGGCCAAGTGCCGTGTGCCTTCGACCATTTTATCAATGTTATGTCAATAGAAAATCAAGGCACAGCGTTAGTGCTAGGTCAGACTGATTCTCCAGGCCACACTCTTAACTACAGCAGCCTGTGTTCACAAACCTCTAAGTAGATGTACGGAGGGAATCAGCACAGGATTGGCCGGATGAAATGAGAGGGAAAGGATTTACAGGAAGTAGGAATCCTGGCGAAGAAAAGTGGGTAGAGTCAGAAAAGGCACAGATGGCAGGTAATCGCTAGGACTTGAGGCCAAGTCAAAGTGATGTGTTGGAATTTGAGTTTCA